GTTTCGATTAATATGAATAATTGCTTTCTTTGCTTGAGTGAGCAATAATACTACTGTGTTGCTTTGTTGTTGTTGAGAGTTTGATATTACTTAACTTTGCAGAACAATAAAATAAAGGTGGTACATTGTTTGAAATATTTCATTGAGTCCTGTTTTTTTGTGTGCTTTTGAGTATTGGTGGGTAAATCGTGTTCCTTTACTTTGTAGAACGAGTAAGACAATACATTGTTTGAAAGATAATTCATTTTCAACGTGGTTAATTAAATTGAGGATTAACCGAATTTCGGCTTTTGGAACTCTAGTGTTTTCGGAGCTTCAGATTACGGCAATGAGCCCTGTTTTTCTCTCTGCTTTAACAGGTAATTCGCCAGCTGTTATGTTTGGTGCTTGCAGGAATTGTAGCAAATATTGTAATTGTGTGGTGAGTTGATATATTTCATTAGCACCTTATCAATTGTATGAATTTGAATTCATACAAGTATGAGTTTAAATGTATAAGCAAATGGAATTAATACAAAGAAATAAACATATGGAGCAAATGGAATTAATACATTTTCTCTAAGCATGAAATTCTTAATGTTGATGTTTTTCTTATTAATTTATATTAGATTTTAATTCTTGTATTTTACTTTACACATAGCATCTACCGATCTACTCTATACCTTAACATGATCTCATTTATTAATATTTATTCCTACAGATCTTCAGTTGAGTCTTTCTGTACTTCAAGTGTTTAACAGAGCTACAAGAACATGCTTCATAGAGTTAGCCATATGTTGCTTATGACTAAGCCACTTTATAAATGAAAAAATAAGTTTATTTAAGTTGTGGCTGGTAAAAATTTGTTCAACAATATTTCAATTTTAATTTTCAGTTACCTAAGCTTAAAAGCATCCTTCATCGTTAGTATATTATGCTCATCAGTTTCTTGTAGATAGTCCGCTTGATTTCGATCGTTGTTGAAATTGCATTTGTTGGTTACAAGTTCACCAAAACTTGTTATAAGTTTCGCTTACGACCTTTTTACTTATCGTTTGTATGGATTAATTAACCAATTTTATTTGATAGGGAGTCATCAATTTAGCTAAATTGATGTCATGGCATATGTACAAAATTGAAGAATTTTGTGACATAGAGTGAATATCCTAATAAATCTTAGTTTTGG